AAGTATTATAGGCCGATCCAGGTCCAGAACGGGTTTTAATCAAACTTTAATGCTGGACCATGATCATTATCCATCTTCTGTTGAGAAGGCAGGACTTACCTGCTAAATATAGTATTATGTGAAACTACAGAAAAATAATTAACAAGTTATAACAAGGGTGCAAACTAATAGTAAAACCTATAAACTGACACGTATTTTAACGTAGTTTTTTTGTGGATCAAATTTAGAATTTGATTGGCTCATTAAAACGTGACAAATAACGCAGCGCACTGACAAAAAGATCCTTTCTCACGTAAAATATCAGATATAAATCGTAAAAACTCCAATAATCACAAGTTGCCAAAGCATGTATTCACTTGAAAAATTTCCTTTTTACATAGAACCAACATTATATAACATATCCGGGTCTTTTAATCAGTGCATTATATTAAAAACAACCAAGTTTTTGACAAACAATAATCTAATCTAAATTTACGTTGTGTAGATCGGAAATATTAATGAGATTGATCACCCAAACATTATTAAATTCTATGGCATTTCAAAAAGTATGAAAAATTGTTTAAGAATGTGAAATTTATGCTTAAAAGTTTAATTCTCATATGTCATTACCATAAATTACTTCAGATAAAACAGGCGGCTTTATGCTGGTATTGCAATTTGCTAATGGTGGAAATTTACGCAATTATTTACAAGGAAAACGCCAAGATGATATTTATAAAAATTCATGGGCAGAAATCATCCGAATTTCTACGGAAATTACAAATGGATTAATGTGCCTTCATGATAGAGGAATTATTCATAGAGATTTGGTAAGATTAATTTTTAAATACTTGATTTTAACAACAATTTTGAATTAAATATATCTCAAAATTTCGCTAGCACTCTAAAAATATTTTAATAAACGATGGCAAAGCCTTGATCGGAGACTTCGGAATATCGAAGAATGAATTGGAGATGACAGTCACAGGTTCAAATATAGCAGGAATGCCCGCATATATTGAACCACAATGCATAAACCCTACCAGAGCGAATATACGTGATAAGAGATCTGACATTTATAGTTTGGGTGTTCTTTTATGGGAACTTACAAGCGGTGTTCCGCCATTTCGCAATTCAAATGATTGGAGTATAATTTTAAGAATTTCTTTGGATGAAAGGGAGAAACCTATTCTAAATACTCCTATAAATTATATAAAACTTTATAAAAAATGTTGGTCGACTGATCCGAATCAACGCCCAAAATTGGAGGATATTTTTTGTAGCCTTGAGATATTAGCAAAGGAAAAAACTATTGAGTTTATAACAAATGAGATAAACAATGACACGGAACAGTCACCTGC